TTTACTTTTATTGTGATCTGAGTGAAAGTTTACAGAGAGAGTTCATTTTCCATACGGCAGTTCACATACACTTTGTCTCATGACGTTGTCTGCAATTTCCCACAATACAACAGCTCTCTTTCTACTTCCTCCCCATAGTTACTTTTGTGCTGTTTAAAATTCATTATGGCCTGCATAAAAACACTGAGTTTAAGTAGAAACAGTAGAAAGATCTGTGAAAAACATCACGGGGGCTCCTCTTAGCAACTTCCTCACTGAGAAGAATTTGTTGAGAGAAGATAGGTGAGGACTTCAATGTTACGACTTCCCCCTTTTAGCAATGAGCAGATGATTTTAACATTCAACTCTCCCTTAGATGAGATTAACAATAAGCTAAATGTTTCATGTCAATTGTCTATGCAGTTCTGAGGTGGAAAAGTCTGCGCTCCAAACTGGACAGTTGTAAAGAAAGGAAATGGTTCATTTCTCATCCTGATGGTTTGTTTATACTGGGAGAAAGATGACAAGCTCAACTTCAGTCCCTGACAAGCTTTAGGTAACGTGATTCTGTTCCTCAGAGAAGTGAAGTAAATGCTAATATTAACTAACCCAAGACATATTAGTGATTTAGCTGGAACACAATATCTTTTTAACTGTAAGATGAGGTTCATACTAGGTCTGAACCCTCTGAAACCGTAAGTGAACTTTCATGTGTATTAGCTGATGAGGATTTCTCCGGGGAGGGGATTTCTAGGTTTCATCCGATCGTTCAAGGGGGTCTGTGACTACCAAAGGTTAAGGATCAGACAGCCGTAGAATCAGACTTTATGATAACCATGGCTCAATTGAATATGTGAAAAATCCCAGCTTGACTATGGGTTATGTTTTTATCCATTTTTTCCTTTTGTATTTCCTTAACTAAAATGAAGGAATAAAGCTTTAATCATAAATTGATTATGATTCATTACTATGCTTCTATTTATTACTAGCTATAATTATATTATTGTTTTAAATACATTTAATAGCATTTAATCTGTTCTAAATTACACAAACCAAAAACTCACTGATGTCGAGTCGTTTCTGACTCATAGTGACCCCTTGTTGGGTTTCTGAGGCGGTATCTCTATGGAAGTAGATTGCCCAATCTTCCTTCCCAGGAGTGGCTGGTGGGTTTGAACCACCAGCCTTCTGGTTAGCAGTCCAATGCCTTAGGCACACATGTTCTAAAACTTGAATTAATTCTGAAAATCATTAATGATTAATATGATTACCAGGAAAACCGCAGCTATATAAGAGATAATGTCTACTTCTGATACAAATAAAAATCAGTGTGGTTTAAATATATGTCCTATTTCCAAAAGCTGGAACACAGTATTTATTAGTAAAACAATTCCAAAATTTTTTTTAGGCACACTAGTAACTTCTTTAAAATTGAAATTTGAGAAGCCCTCAAATTACTGTTGAAGAAACACAAACGTGCTACCTAAGAAAAAAAAAGTGGAGAAGCAATATAATAATAAGATGTATCATTTTTCACTAATTTTCCAGATAATTAAAAATTGAGCTAGTGTACTTTAGTTATAGATTTTCTGCAAGCCAGAAATATGTTAGGTGGGTAAGACAGCTGCTGATTAGTTTCTAATTAATTAAATGATTAGTATTTTAATTCTACATTCAATGAAGGTGAAAATAAAGAAAATATTAATAGCTTTCCTAAGGAACCTTAGCTAATGGCTACAGGGCTCAAATGTGCTTAACAAAAAGTCAACATAAAAATGTTATATCTTTGATAAAAAGAATGCAGGTAAAGATCTGAGAATAAAACCGAAGATATTCAAAATTCAGAATGTTACCTAAGAACTGACTGAGGCAGCACCAACACTTTTCATTACATCAGAGAATGACAATCTAATGACTGTATATCACTGGCTTAATTTTAAAAGGCAGTTATATTAGAAAAATAACTAAAAGAGGAATACGTCATCAATTTAGGCTTTCTTTCCACTGGTCATTTCTGTTATTGAGACTTTTTTTTTTATTTTACAATTTTAGCAAAAGTAAGAGGTTGTGCAGCAAATAATTTAGGCTCTCAAAATGTTTCTTAAATTATTAAGTTCATTTGGCAGATGATAGGCATTCGACATCTGGCTTTCCTCAACTGTTTAATGTATTTTTAAATATTTCCATTACATTCTTCAAACCATCCTTTAGTGAATTGTGCTATTTCCTATCATTAGACTACTTCTGCCTTCTTTCTCTAGACCAAGAGAAAACATTTAGGGAATTACCATTTAAGAATTACAAGCAATTTTACAATGCAGAATGTGGCAAGGGTTTAGAAGAGAATTCAAGTGTTATCTATGAAAAAGATATAAAGGTTGCCTAATCCTAGAAACAATATGATGACTGAGTTAAAAAAATGTGGGTTTTCAGATATATGTATACACATTTATATAGATGATTGAAACTAAAGAGAACAAAGGAAATAATCAGCCTTTATATCAAGTGAAAGAATTGTTTAAAATTAAAATGGGTTATGAGGAGGATTGTGACATCCCTTCTTTCTAAGGGTTTTATAACCAGAAACCATTTATAACACTCTTGTATGATTTAAGTTCCCATTTGAGGGCAAAGGAATGGGAGATATTCTCAAACATCCATTAGGACGTTTAGATTTTGAGCTTCTATAACTCTACAAAGACTAAAAGAGTTGAATAAATGCATATTTATTTATTTATTTGTTGGAAGACTGCCAGATGTAAATCTCGGAAATCTTCCAAAATATTTTGGTAACAAGTGAGGATTAGTTTCATTTTTAAAATATTCTCTCTCTCTCTCTCTTTTAATTCAGTAAGGTTAAATGTGACTTAACAGATCTAAGGCAAAGACTAGCCCAAAGATTCAGGTTGGTACTTACGAAACAGGGCAGACATCACTAAGACTGGTGGTTTGAGAAAGATAGACAGATATTGTGGTGATAAAATGCCTTAATCACCTATAAATCTATTCCTGGATAAAAGTATTACAGTATTTTTTTTCTACCATAAATACTCATTTAAAATTTATTATTTCTTTTTAATACTTGACAGCTATACCTTAGAAACAAAGTAATAGAAGTAGATTTAAGATACTCTCTATTTTCAATCATGATTTATACATACCAGAATTTAAAGCTCTTTTGCCCATTAGTCCAACAAAGGAATCTGTTTTATGTCCTGGAAAATACATTTAGGGGTATTTTAATATGTATGTCTTTGACGAAAGAAACTGCTATAACTACTACAAGAAAAAAGCAAACTTTCTAATATATGCCTATATATAATAAATACATCTCTATTTCAAGCTTTGGTGAGACTGAAGAAGGAAGCTTACTTTGAAGTCTCATAAATGACTCTGAAATAACACTATGAAAGCATTTTCCTCAATTCTACATCTAAATATTTGCAAGTACTCTTTATTTATATTACATATTTATCTTTCATATAAAATTTTAAATATTTTTTGCTACTTTAGCTGGCTTTGATTTTTAGAGTCTATTTCATATTTGTGTGACAGAACAATATCCAAGCTTATTTCCTTACCTTACTAAATGATGTTGTATTTCTGAACTGAATCTTAGTTAAGTCAATTATCTATACTTGACTATAAACTTCTAAAAGATCATGTCTCTATTTTATTAGATTATTTTAATACTCTTTTTAGAAAGTGTGTTAGTTTTAACATTAATAGAGCACATACATTTTCATTGTATAGAATTTACTAAATATGATTTACTTGAAAGTCAAATCCTTAGAATATAAATATGCATAAGATGTATGTATTTTAAAGACAAAGTGTTTGGAATAAGTTATTATTTAAACTTGGATGAGAATTGCTCTTATGCTATATTAACTAAGGAGAGGGCTGCTATCGTAATGTGTTTGCCACCCACTGAACCAAAGTCCAAGACAGGGTGAGTGAGTGGACAACATAATTACAACGGATCTGTGAGACTTGCTGCCGACCCTGCTTCCATTAACTGGGAAAATAGGATCTCATGACCTCCAAGGACCACAATTCTGCCATCTTTACCACCTTAAGAAATGTTTCATTGCATGTTGATAAAGATTTCCCACATAATTAATTATGGAAAACTTCTAGTATGCTTTCTCTACTCAGGTATTCACCCACTCCATCTAACTGGCTGCTAGATTATCATAATAAATGATGTCATTATAGGACCCAGAATATTAAAATGAGCCGGAAGATGCCTATAAGCTTTTTTTTTTTTTTTGCAACAGAATATGTAGGTATGTGGTAAATTTTCACTCCTAGGATTGAAATTTTTATTTAAAGCTAATCATTTATAGGTGTTAAGGATTTTTTGTAGCATCTTAAAGCAACAATAAACATCCTCAGTTCTATTGGTCAAGAATTCAAGAGCAGCTTAGTTGGGACTGACTTTTTTTTTTTTTTTTTTAATATAAAGCCTCATTTTGGGAAGTAAGATATGTCTAAACAACAAGGCTTTAAACAATCCTGTTCTGAATTCAATATGAGTCTCCTCTATTCTTATATTGTCCCAATTATTATAGTAAGTGCTAAATTATGACAGAAAATAAAGATGGTATATAATGTGGAATTCAATCTAAATTATATTTGCATTTGATTAATGTAAAAATTGTGAACTTACTTTTATGAGAAATCTGGCCATGTCCTAGAAGAAAGAAAAGTAAAATCAGCAGTCACATATAGCTTTGTTTTCAAGAAGCTACATTACATCTCTTAAAGAGAATTATGAAATAGATTTTTAAGATATATGATATTTTCCTTTCACATACTACCCCGAGAAATATAGCAGAATTATAAACGCCAATCCAATTACTAATTTTAAAAAGAAATATTTGAACAAATGGAAGGAATATTTACTAAGTACTTCCTATGAGCTGCAGATTTAAACCCAGGACTGTGATGCTCCCCTTGACCATAACACCTCCCTGTTTTCTTATGGAAATGCATTTCCAAGGCCAGCTGCCCATTTCATTCTTAGAGATATATGCAAATCCATCTCTTTGTTAACCAGGCACAGTCAAGATCTTGTATTTCAGCCTATACAGTATTTCCTTCATTTTCCTAGAAGTGCATTCACAATAGCAAAATAAAGATGTATAGGAGTGTTTACCATAAAGCGCCTTTAACAGGGCCACTTGTTTTTCAACTGAGGAATCTGACAAGAGATGAATTGACATTAACTATTTACAAGTTCCATTGAAGTTGCTATAAATTTCAGGAAACAGTATTTCTATCACTAGACACGGGTCAGCCAAGTCTGATCTAACCTCAGGGAATTCTCTATCATCAGCTGGAAATTCCACATGCATTTAAAGTGCCACTCCCTTTAGGTCCCGTGCCTTCCCCTTCATTGTCACTTTGGGATCTTTACTCAACAAACGCTTAGCTGAGATTGGGCCCTGCTCTTGGGGGTTTAGCTCTAATACTGGAGAAATGGGCCTCTCCCTCCCTCCAAAGGCTTGTGCAAGTGTTAGAGACGAGCCGGCTAGAGTCGCGCCTAGGGAGTTTTGTTCCTCCCTAGGGTGGAAATCTCTTCTCAAAGAGCAAGAGAGACTGGGAGCACTGGGAGCGAGTGAGCAGGCAGGGCAGGTTGCCCAGACAAACAGAGGGATGGTTGCCCATCTCACCAGCATCCCGTTTGCCCATTAATCCGAAGAACTGCTGAGGCTTGGGTCTCCGTGCGATTCTCTGCAGAAGGTGCTCAAAGGGCTCGGGCAGCTCCTCCTAGGGGACACATGCACGTGTAAAGCGCTGTGTAGGTCATCAAAGCGAGGCGCACGGCAACCGGAGTCGTTCTCGTGGTGCGCTCCAGTCTTTGGCGAGCCACGCTGCCCGCGGTGGGGACCGGGCTCCGCAGGGAGGCGAGAGGAGGGCGGGCCTCCCCACGCCCGGGTTTAGCGAGGGTCCATCCCCGGGCACTCCCTCTCTCCGCCCCTCCTTGCGATCTTGTGTCCAGGGCCACATCCCCAAAGCCCTGCCTTGTCACCATGTGAGTTAGCAGCAGGCGCGGTGTCCCCGAGCCCTGCTCGCTTTCCGCTATTTCCTCGCAGCAGGGCACCCTCACTCAGCTGCTGTGCGGCCATCTGGCTTTGCCTCATTACTAAAGCCAGCTTTGGAGAACCCTTATCCCCACCGCCTGGCATTCACACAGATGTGTGTGTGTGTGTGTGTGTGTGTGTGTGTGTGTGTAGGGGTTTGGTGGGTACGAGCGGATGGTAGGAACAAGATTTTACAAGCGTCCTGCATCGCTCTTCTCCAGAGACTTGGTCCCTCTCGCCAATGACAAGAAAGCCAGAGAACATTCAAGGTGAAACTTGTGGCTACGTCCTTGGGTCGGTAAAATAAATGCCATGGCAGGAGTTAGCTTAACACCCACTGGTGGCTCAGTGGTTCAAATTCTCGGCTGCTAGCATAAAAGGTAGGAGGTTGAAACCCACCAGCCGCTCCGAGGGAGAAAGACGTGGCAGTCGGCTTGTGTGAAGATTACAGCCTTGGAAACTCTATGGGGCAGATCTACTGTCCTACAGGGTCCCTAAGCGTCGGAACCGACTCGGTGGCAGTGGGTTTGGTGTTTTGGCCTGCCCCTCTAACCGCCCCGCATTGGTCCCTTTTCAGTCTTGTTCTGCCCGCGCTACCGCGCGCCCTCTGCCCCTGCCTAGAGTCTCCAAACACGCGTTAGAGCTGCAGTCCCCGAAAACTTCGTTACTCTGGAGAGAACCCCGCTCTGACCCTGCGAGGACCGTGGGTCTCATTAGGGACGGTATCTTTCCTCCAGGGAGTTCTCGAAACCCGACGGTGCAGTCCTTAGGGAGCAGGGGAAACTTGGAACCCGCAGTGCAACATCCTGTGTGGGACCCTGGGGATGGCGCTGCTTTGCATGCCTCCCGAGCCTGCACCGCCTCTGGCCGCATTTCTGTTGCTTTTCTTACCAGCACTAACTACAGGAGGAGGGTGACAGCTCCCGAGCCCGGGACGAAGGGCGCAGGCCGTCCAGGGACTGGGTCTCTCACCTTGATCTGGTCGCTGTCGGACCAGTCGGACCAATAACTCAAATCATCGTTGGCTCCAAGTTCTTCAGCAAACAGTTGAGTGGAGAGGAGAAAAAAGACTGCCAAGGCCACGAGGATTTTCATGTTGGATTTCTGGAAAGAGAAGGAAGAAGAGACAGGGGGAGAGAACGAGAGACAAGTGGGGGGAGAGAGAGAGAGAGAGAATGAATACGAACGACTGGGAAGAGGCTCTCCAAGAGTTGGGCAGCAGACCTGGCCGAACTCAGGTTCAGTTGAACAAAGAAAAAAAGCCATAAGGACTATTTCTCCCCTGTACCCTTTAAGAAAGAGAATCACTCTGGAGGGCGTTCAGATGCCCTCTTCTCAAGATCTTACTTCTTGTCCATCCCCCCAACTCACACCGTGAAGCCTAGAGGCTCTGCAGGCTGAAGGTAGTCAGAGTACTGGCACTTGGAAGATCCGGCCTCTGCACTGCTCCCTCGCCCCAGCCGCTCACCCAGCGCTGTCTCGGGTCTCCCGCCACCTGGGAGCGCAGCGTGGCGGGCTAAGCCGGCGTACGGCGGCGGCCCCTTGCGGGTACTTACCGCGGCGGACAGGCCCGGGGGTTCCTCTGGCGCGTCCGAGCCCTCTCCCGGCGCCCTGCACTTGCCGGCGGTGGAGGAGGAGGTCCGAGCGCGCTCTTTTGCCTGTTCAGTGCCTCGCGGTATTTATCCCAGGCTCCACGAGCCTCGCGACCCACGTGACACGCTCCCCACGCGACTTTCTGTTCAATATTTAATTAGCCGCCTCCACTCCTTGCGCTTGCGTCTGATTTAGAGTTTCCGAGACGGTAACCCGTCGGTGCCCGTAACATCTGGACCCAATTGGGTTCTAAATGACGCAGGTTTAGGAATATCGAGGTCTTGCCATCCAATCCGGAGCAGTCTATCTTCCTCCGTATGCATATCGGACGCCCCCTGCCCGCTCCTCCTTCCTAATGGGGTTCCATGACACCTGAGATTACTCATCAAAATTGAGCAAAGTGACTCATTCCTCGGACTCCGGCAACTTTTTCATCCCTTAAGAAGGTCAGGATAAGTTATACTTTTGAGGATGACCAAACTACTTCAGGTATTAAGATATTGTCATTGGAAATCAGTCTAAGACAGAATAACTCAACTGAGAGAAAAGCAGTATTTTATTTTATTTTCCATTCCAGTCTGCAGAGTGTCTTAAGTGTTTTGGTGGTATAGTAGTTTTCTTTTTTGACCCGAACATCCCTCTCTTAAATCAGTTAGAATACTGGCATTTTCAGCATTACAAATAGATTTACAGTCCCATGGTATTTCAGACAATGGAAACAGATTTATTTTACATTTGAAGAAAGGGGAATTTAAACGCAGAACTTTCGAGGATATCCTTTTTTTTCCAAATGGGCTAAATTTCCTTCCTTGCCACATCCAGGAATAAGGATTAGAAGACCTTTTCTCTCCTCTTCTACCCTTTCTCTGGACAGACTAGGAAACCAGCAAGACAGTGTGCAGAGCCCTTACTGGACTCTGCAGATGTTTCATAGATTTCTGCTCTATCCGAAAGTAATAAGTGCAGTGAGGATGCTAACTGGGGCAGACATTAACAGCTTGAAAGTATAGACGAATAGCATCAATGATTTGTCTTGTAGACACATTTCTTTCACCTCCACGTGAATTAAATGATGTTATATCTCCAGTGGAGTTGTTTTCTCCCCTTAGCAAGCATTATATTTCAGTTAATTCTGATTTTTTATTACAGTGCATGAAGGGATTTTTTTTTTTTTTTGCAGCTAGATTAAATCAGTAATGTTTTTCCTCTAATATTTGTTGTTCTTTCTAAAGTAACCTTGCACTCTGAAATTCCCATGCATCTTTCCCATTTCTTTAGGCTTAGCCTCACAATGGGAGGCATTTATTTTTTGTTTCTAAAACATTTTATAGAAAATTGTAAACATGTACAAAATTAGAGAGAACCATTCAGTTGAAACAATTTATAAGTTTCATCTAATACTAGTAGGTTGATTCTGAGTCATGGTGACCCACCCCTCCCTCAACCCCCCAACTCTGATTATTTTGAAGTAAATCTTAGATATCACATCATTTCAACTGTAACTATTTCAGTATGTCTTTCTCAAAGGTAAGACTTTGTTTTTTAAAAATATACTATGCCACTATCCTATCTAAAAGAAATTTAAAGTAATTCCCTGTTACTGATGTTAGGTGCCACACAGTCCGTTTAGGTTCATAGTGACCCCATGTAACACAATGTTGAAATGCTTGCTGCTGACTGAAAGGTTGGCAGTTGGAACCTACCCAGGGACTCAGCGGAAAAAACACTTGGCAACTATTCCTGTAAAGATTACAGACTAGAAAACTCTATGAGGGCAGTTCTACTCTGCCACATGGGGTAGCTATGAGTCGAAAATCAACTCAGTGGCACCTGACAGCAACAATGTATAGTTTTCCCTCTCTCTCTCCCTCTTTTTCCCTTGCAGTGTATTGATAAACTAGGTTATTGTCCTGTAGAGTGTTCAATATTCTGGAGTTCGCTGATTGCTTCTCCATGGTTTCTTTAAACTTGTTCCTCTGCTCCCTCCATTTATATACTGTAAATTGATGATTGTATTTAGAAAATGGATCAGATTTAGGGTTCCCCCTCCAGGGGAGGGAAAAAAAAAAAAAAAACAAGGCCATTTTGTCTGTATTGTGTACTTCTATCAGGAGGCACTTAAAGTCTCCTTTGGGATGTCAGAAGCCATTGATGATCATTCTCTGGATCCATTAATTCATTGTTGTTGTTGTGTGCTGTAGAGTCAATTCTGACTCACACAAACCCTCTAGGACAGAGTAGAACTGATCCATAGGGTTTCCAAGGTTATTAATCTTTACAGAAGGAAATTGCTACATCTTTCTCTTATGGAGTGGCTGGTGGGTTCTAACAGACAACCTTCTAGTTTGCAACCTAGCATTTAACCACTGCATAACCAGGGCTCTCATTAATTCTTCAGGACTTGCAAAATAGTACTATTCTGATTTTATCATTCTTTATTTATTCCTTTTTTAATTAGCTGGATCATTTTTCCATATATAGCCAAACTTGTTTTTCTCATCAGCTATTTGGTTACTTCAAGGCATTTTTGGCTATGGGAAAGATGGGATAAATGCTTGATTATTTTCTCCACCACTTTTCAAAATGTTGTTGTTGTTATGTGCCATTGAGTCAGATCCGACTCACAGTGACCCCTCCTCGGGTTTCCGAGGCAATATCACTACAGAAGTGGATTGCCTCCTCTTCCTTCCGAGAAGTGGCTGGTGGGTTTGAACCTCCAGACTTCTGGTTAGCAGTCAAGTGCCTTAGGCACTGTTGTTATTTGGCACTATGCTACCAGAGCTCTAGGTAAATTAGTACCTTTGAAGATGACCCTTTTAATTTTAGTATTATTGTGAACTCATGGATTTAAACATAGTTCAAGTATTTCAATCCACGGAACACGTTTTTCTAAATGCTACTCTTTATCTCATTCTTGACTTTTCAAGTTAGCTCCTGAGCCTTTCTATATGCCCTCAATAGGCTTTGATGACTTTATTGTGTTTTGTCAATGACAAGATTCAAGTGTTGTATTTCCTGCCTCAGACTTGGAATCTGCTACTTCTTTGTAGCAGAAATGATAATTAGGGATCACATCTGGACATTGTGGGTACACGATGTCACTGAGTTCTTCGTTGTTTCAGTGGCTTGTTGTCTGTGCCATCGAGTCCATTCTGACTCAGTGACCCTAGATGACAAAGTAGAACTGCCCCATAGGCTTTCCTAAGCTATAGTCTTTATGGGAGCAGATCACAAGGTCTTTTCTCCTCTGGAATCCTGAAAGTTAATTTCAAAATTAAATTAAATTTAAAGAGTAATCCCTAAAACTCAAGAACAAAATGAACAATTTTCTAAAATTGTTCTAAGTTCTAAAATTTTCTAAAGGGTTTTAACCTTTTGGCTAGCAGCTGAGCTCTAAACCATTGTGCCACCAAGACTCCTGCTTCCAGTGGATAGAACTGAGAATGTGTGTGTGTGCGTGTGTGTGTGTGTGAGACACAGATAGACAGTGAGAGAAAATACCAAAGTCATGAATTTATAGTGACATTTTCTATTCAAATTAGGGATATTATAGAGTCTTTACCTAACTTCACAAGGAGTTCTGGTGCTGTAGTGGGTAAGACATTTGGCTGCTAACCAGAAGGTCAGCAGTTCAAACCCACCAGCTCCTTTGCAGGAGGAAGATGAGGCAATCTACTTCTGTAAAGATGTATGGCCTTGGAAACCTAATGGGGGTCATATAAGTCAAAATCAACTCAATGGCAGTAAGTTTGTTTTTTTGGTTTACCTAACTTAATCTATCTTATATCTTTTCCATACCAAAAATCCCAATTCCCAGTGACATCAGTTTAATCATTTGCTTTATCCTGATACATAATACCAATAGGATGAACAACAGTATGATTATTAGAAACAGATTAAGAGTTTTATTTTCAATTCTTTATATATCTTTTTATCAGCTCTTTTTATATGTAGAGAATACCACACTATGTATGTTCAGTCCAATTATTGTGTTTTAAAGTTACTTTCAAAGTTGTCTGCATAGTTATGCTACCAACTCTTATATACCCAAAACCAAAAACCAAACTCACTGCCGTCGAGTCGGATCTGACTGACAGCTACTCCTCTTTGGGTTTCCGAGGTGGTATCACTATGGAAGTAGATGTATATTTAGTTGTTCATTTTGTTCTTGAGTTTTAGGGATTACTCTTTAAATTTAATTTCATTTTGAAATTATATAGAATTACAGTTCCAAACTCAAATGTTCAAGATACAATATATTTAAAGAACTGTGATTTCAATAGCTGTCCCCTCTTTCTTCTAATAACCATTTATTTTTAGGTTTTCTATGTTTTATCCTTCTGTTGTTGTTACTGTTTTGTTGTTGTTGTTGTTGTTATTTGCCGTTGAGTCGGCCCCGACTCATAGCGACCCCTCCTTGGGTTTCCGAGGCAGTATCACTACGGAAGTAGGATTGCCCAACCTTCCTTCCGAGGAGTGGCTGGTGGGTTTGAACCACCAGCCTTCTGGTTAGCAGTCAAGTGCCTTAGGCACTATGCTACCAGAGCTCCTGTTACTGTTTTAATATAAGAAAATATGTATTCATATCCCACTCTACCTTGTAAAATTCTATAGTTAAATGGGGCATTTTAGATTAATTTTTGTTCTCATTTTCTGATGTAATCTATGAGATAACATGAATTATTTAACAATTTCTTCTCTGCTAGCTCAATCTAATCAGTCGTGTAACATTGTTCACATGCCATGTTAAAAATATGCCACAGTATGTAAACTAAGGGCTGTTTAAATAATTGAGTAGTAAACATTAAGGAGATAAATTAAATTGATCTAAGAACACATTTCCCACTTTTTCCCTGTCATTCATTAACTGGTAATTTAGTGCTCCTAGTAAGAGCATAGGAGCTCTGGTAGCATAGTGCCTAAGGCACTTGACTGGTAACCAGAACGCTGGGGTTCAAACCCACCAGCCACTCCTCGGAAGGAAGATTGGGCATTCTACTTCTGTAGTGATACTGCCTCGGCAACCCAAGGAGGGGTAGCTATGAGTCCGGTCAGACTCAATGGCACAAAACAACAACAGCAGTAAGAGCATGGGAGCTCTGGTGACATAGTGCCTAAGGCATTTGACTGCTAACCAGAAGGCTGGTGGTTCAAACTCACCAGCCACTCCTCGGAAAGAGGGTTGG